CCCCCCCCCCCCCCCCCCCCACAGAGGAACCAATTACTTGTGAAACCTTTGGACTCTCATAGATCGTGGTGGCAATCACTTCAGCATAATCAGTACACATCTGAAGGGAGACGCTCTGCATTAGTGCTCACTTCTGAAAACGTGGATTCCCCCCACTCAGATGTGGAAATGAGGCAGAGAGAACTTCATGACAAAATGCTGTCTCTGGAGCAGTAGAGGCCTTTTTCTGAGCAGTGTCCAGAGGCCGGGGAACTCTCTCTCTGTTTGAGGTGGGCTATGGGTATGCAGTTGTGGCATGGTTAGTGAAAGATAGTGGGCTGTAATTTAACAGGCATATTGGATCATTTTATTTACTTTTTTTTGGACCTTTGACAGAAATGTAGCTTATACCTGCACTAGAACTATCAGTAATATCACTGGCATGAACGATGCATGCCCCTAGCGGCTGGGGAAGATGGCGGCACTAAGCCGGAGCTCCCACAGACACCACCGGCGCTGTTGGGGGGGGTGGGGGAAGAAAAGGTGATGACCGCCGACCAGGGGTTGGTGACCACCCGCAGATGCCGCTGGTAGTGTTGGTGGAAGGGTGGCAAATGGAGACTGCCTGCAGGCGCCGCTGAAAGTGTCAGCAGCACCTTTTTGTAGGGGGTGCACCGCCATGCTCGGGGTGAACGTTCACCTGATGCACCTATGCATCACCCCTGATCACTGAAACCAGTTTCCCAAATGGAGTTAAGCTGCACTTGCAGGGTGTATAACTTCATTATGGTTCTTGCTGACAAAGTGGTGGCAAAAGTGTGACATCTTTCCCTTATAAACAACACAGCTATGCAAGAAAATCTTACATGGTAGACCAAGCAGAAAAGCTAAGCACACAAGCAGATCACTCATCTCCCTATTCCCACTTCCTGTGCCCCTGAGACACTAGGCTTTATATAAATCTTTCAGATCTTTCTTATGTCAGACTGAACCAGCTGAAAGTTCAAAGCTTTTTGAGTGGTAGTGCAGGGGACCTGAGCAGATTACCAAATCCAGTCTGCTATGCATTTATTCTTAAAAGAAGAAATGAACACTGAATATTCTACAGCTACCATAATGCTACCAAACGGCTGAATGTGAATGCTAAACAGCTTGACTTAGTGTACATTCAATCATGTTAAAGAAAATTGTGGCAGAGAAGGTCAAAACCTATTTTCTAATCATTCTTTTTTTCTTTCCTTTGGGGCATGTCCATACACAGTTCTGAAGCCACATTTGGTTGTAGCAATGCTGGAGTCTTTCACAGGATTTTTATGATAAAGTCCTTCCAGTGTTGAATGTTTATTCTTAAGAGAAATTCAAGATTTGCTTCTTATGATGCTTTTCACTACACTTAGGTAAAAACAGTAACAAAGTACATCTTGTAGCCATTACATTTTTTCAACTCTACTTCAGATGAAGAAATTGAATCACTATGGATTCTTAAAGCAAAATAGTTACGCTTATTGGGCTCAGTTTAAACTGACAAATATACATATCCACTAACTTGAGTGAGAGGTGGTTTCAGATCTTAACTATTCTGGATAAGGAATTCTTGTTATATTTAAGTCAGGTCACATAGTTTTAAACTTAGCCTTTGAAAATTTGCAGCAAGTAAGGCATCTCTGTTATTCTGTGGATGTTCTGGACCCATACTATCATGCTTAATTACATTTATGATTATAATTTGACCATACTTTCATTTAGATTCTCTCTCTCTCAATATCAGCTGAAGGTGCTCAGTAGTGTTAAATGGGTTTATTCTCCTGACCAGATAAATAATTAAAACATAAGCAACATCTAACATGGGGAATTCTAACATGACAAGGTATCCTTATGTTTCTTCATTAACAGGTCATTATTTTTATTGTGCATAAACCCGCTTCCTGCTAAGAGTAAAAACCAACAAATGAAGAACTATGGATGTATGAACCTAAAAAAAAGTGTAAAAAATGCACTGAGTCATTCAGTTGATCTGCTAGGAGGTCTGTAATTAACTTTTTGCAACAGTTGCATAAATCCTTCCTAATTTTATTATGCATAACCAACATCCAGGCAAATATTTGTGTTTAAGATAAATATGGAATAGATTGGCAAGAGTTTTACAATAGAAAATGTTTTATTTTGATAGCATTTTTTTTACAATGAGTTTTTTGTCCATTAACTCTTAACACCCCGCATCACATATTGTAAGTTACTTGATGTGGTATACTGTGCATGTAATTATATGAAGAAGCAAGTCCACGATTCATCTTTTTGCAAACTGTGAAACTACTGAGTTTCAATAAATGTCAGCCTAAATTACTCATATTGAAAAAGACTATTTATTTTGTGAGCTGGTGAGGCAAATTTTGCTTTCACATGTTTAAAGTGAAAGTCATTAGAACAACAAGAATGTATGTGATGGCAGAATGAGACCCATGAAGACTGACTATACAAGAAACGGGGGTAAACTTGTAATACAAAAAAATGTCATATACAAACCTGACCTCCCAGTAGGCAAAACTGATTTCTGACGGACCAAATCATTTGAAGTTTTGATGTTCATTTTTGAAAGGTCTTTTGCCACAATGTAAAGCAGATCTAGACTATGAGAAATAAATTAAGCATTTAAAAGCAACAGGCACTCCCTAATTACTTGTTTGTTAATCTGGTTTTCTTGGTATACTGGATGATGACTTGCTCTTTTGGGCTCCTGATGGTACCAAGCTGCTGTCTTTAATGATGCTGTTGAAGTAAGTCACCAGAATTGGCTTAACTTCCGCTTCCTCATCAATCTAGCTAGTCCAGGCATGTTACTAGTGTATAATGATGCTAACTGCCAGTGGGTTAAGCAGTACACAGGAAGTATTCAGCAAAACAGGACCATTTCATCCATTGTTCATGTCAGTTACACGTTGATGAACTGCAGAATTTCTCAAGGACTATTACAGCAACCTGGACGGAGCCAAATGGAGGTGGGTGCTTCTCTGTAAATAGCAGTTCTACAAATGAAAAGCTTTTTTGATGCCAGCAGCAAGGTCCTGTGGAGTAGGATTCTCTGCAGTGCAACTCACAGGGACTCCTTCAGCTTCCATTGCTTCAGCAGTTGTTGGACCGATAGCAGCAAACTGAAGTGATAATTAGTCATGAACAAGACAGCAAAAAAACAGTGTGCAGATCTGCTCTTGTTGTATGACGTGCAGGACAGAATACTAGATATTGAAGCAACTGACATCATAAGCACATCTAACTTGAACATGTCAGATTAATATGGGCGCAAGCATGTCAGCTGTTTTCAGTGGAGGGTTCAGTTCAGTAGTAAAACAATACATCTTTTTAGCTGCTTTTAAATTACATGTTAAGTGAAGATAAAGGCCTTTACATTTTTCTTGTTGCTAGGAAAATGAACAGAAATTCTAACATGCTTCAGCTCTGTCAGTGCCAGCTTTTCAAAAAGATCTTGGCTTGTAATAATCAAGAGAAACTAAGTTCTGTCTAAATGAAAAAACTGAACAAAGGGGCCAGCAAAAAAAAAAGAAACAAAACAGACTTCAGCAGCCCTTTTCCCTGCTATGAGACCTGCTACAGCAAGGGAGGGCAAAATCTGGCCCATAGGGCCCCTAAAAAATTTAGAAAATTAGTATTTATCTGTCCCTGGCTGCCTGTCAAAGATGACAGAATCCAGGGGCAGTAGGACATGGGGGGAGC